ATATAGACTCTTATGAAGTTATGTTGGCCCATTTAATCTTTGGTTATACTTTCCTTTTGGGTGTTTAAGGCCATACAGTTGGTCCAGATAAACCGATTTATTTTTACTCATAAGGTCGTTTGAGGATCTGTTCCTCAGGGGTCACATGGGCTTGGGAGGAGCCCATGGCTCCTTTTTAATATAATATTTTAAACCTTTTCGTATATAAAATATGAACTTTTTTCTGATTTATTCAGTGTTTGATATTAAGATAGAGTCATTTTAAAAATTAAGTACCTATAGAAATACAATTGTTTGATGTAACTATCTCTAGCAACCTGTCTTTATTTCTAATCAGGATATTTCTTTCCATATTATTATCAATATAATAGTCAGAAACATCAGTGCACAGCTGATTGTAGGCAATTTTGTTTTTAACAGATCTCAAAAGAAAGCATTCAGCTTTTATCCTCATGTTTCTCTAAGTTTTCTTAGATAATTTTACAAGATAAAAGAGTCTTCCTTTAATTTCTAGTATTTTTTAAAAATTATGAGAGTATTATGTTTTGCCATATACATTTGTTGAATTTATTGAGATGATTCCATGATCTTTCTCTTTCAATCTGATAATATGGCAAATTGCATTGCTTTCTTATTTTACGTTAGGCTAAACTTTTAGAAATAAGCCTAATTTTTAGTAATTTTATCCTTTGATAAATTGCTAATATTGGTTTGCTAATGTTTAGGTTAGGATGTATGTATATATTTATAGGCGATAATGGTCTGCAGTTCAGATCTTTGGGTATAGTTTCTCTTGACTACCTATTACTCTCACACCTTCATAAAGTCAGAAGATCCTAAGTTGAACCATCACAAGTTGGGGGCTGTGTATGTGTAATTCAGGCTATACTTTATTTCCCTCAACGAGCACTTTACTTGCTAGGTGTTGCTAGGTTATTATTTTTTTTTTATTTAGTTTAAAACATATTCTTGTTTTCCCTGCACTGTGATTTCTTTGACTCATGGATTGTTTAGTGGAGTACTGCTTTGTTTTTAGTTTTGTGATTTAATGATCACTTTTTGTTTTTGACTTCTATCTTAATTATATTCTGAGTGGTGAAAATACTACATGGGCAGCATCTTTTGAAGCTGTTTTGTGACTCAGCCTGTGGTTAAGGTTGTTAGGATGGTGTGCACTTGACAGTGGCTCCTGCCCTGGCAGGTAGTGGTCTGCAGATGTCAGTTTTGTTTTGTTTGTTAATTGCTGTTTCAGCTCTCCCATATCCTTGTTGAATTGTTTTCTCTCTCTTTTCTGTTTTTCCAGTTATGAATAGAAGTTGGTTGATCTTTCATTATGGGTTATAGAGATTTTTTTTGCCCCCTCCTTTTGGTTTTATCATTTATTTTATTATATATCTTATAACTAGTATCTTCCTGGTAAATTGTTTTTTTTTTTTTAATCAATTTAAGAATATCCTTGGTGGCTGGAAAGATGGCTCAGTGGCTAGTATCACTTGCTACTCTTGCAGAGGACCTGCTGCCCTGTCCCACACCATTGGCTCGTTCCAGTTCTTGGTAACATTTGATACACTGGCTGTGCTCAGTTTACAAGTATGAATATATTTCTTTTTTTTCTGAGACGGGGTCTCCCTGTAACTTACTATGGAGACCAGGCTGGCCTGGAACTCACAGAGATCAGCTTGTCGCTACCTCCCGAGTGCTAGGATTAAAGGCTT